AATTCTGGGGAACAACTAATGCCATGACAGACATACACGACTGTGGGTGTAAGTCATGCACATGAATGTTTTATTCTCAAATCAGTGCTTTATTAACTGAATTAGCCTGTGCTATATGAATAAATCTAAACTGCCTCTAACCATTCACGCGAACAAACAACGGCCAGATTCTCTTAGAAAATTTAAATACCACCACTAATACTGTTACTACTACTAATCGTCTTATTAAAATTACTTATCATTGCTGGATGTCATCATTTAAAGTCTAATTTCTTTGCTTTTTTTTCTTAAACACAGTGGGTTTCTCATTTCGGTCTAACCGACCACGAGATGTTTTCTTGTTTTTCTTGTAGTCTATTAGTGTTTTAACATATCGGGTTTGATGTCCAATCCTTTTCTTACTTGAGCCACAGTGATCATCTCAGGAAAAATTATATTCAGAACTTTAATTTTTTCAGCCAGAGGCTCTTTTTTTTTCCTTTTACATTTTTGAGGCTTTCATCACTCCAATGGAAAGCTGTGCTTCCTCTTTGAACTTAATAGTTTCAGTTTCTGCTTTCTTGGCATGGTGATGCAGGATCCTCCCTTGCTACATCATCACCACTTTCTTTGCTTCACCTAGAGGCAAGTGTGTCTATTTAATGGAAAAAATCGGATTTGGTTCAGAATGATTCAGATTCAATTTACGCATGATGGTAAGAACAAAACAGACTGCTTTGCGCATTTCATAAATCTGATGGTAATTTTGTCATATTAGACATATCAGTAAAAGAGGGCCGTTGTACGCTGGGCAGAAATAAAACCCAAAGTGCAGATGTCTGGCCATTAACACAGCATATGAGCCCAAAGACCTCATACAGTGGTGGAGGAATAATGATTTGTTGATGAACAGTACCTGAAAGTCACGTCCTGAATAAATAGAAAACAGATCCAGCAAGAACTTGACACAGGACCCCAGAGATACGTCTAACCCTTCAGTTTATCCATGTACATGAAGGCTAAGTATTCCAAATTACACAAGAAGTGGACTGATAATCAGATTGTGTGGGTTTATTTTTGTTGTTTGAACAAGGCTCTGAGTTTGTTAAATGAAGTGTTTTCTGTTAGTCTACAGTTTAATGCTTTATGTTTTTGACAAGTGTCTGCTTGTCTGATTCTGTCTGATAACGCGACAACACGATGAAGTGTGTAGGAACTTAAAAATGTTCAAAATTCGACATATTTATGATAATTTAAAACATCCATCCATCCATCTTCATCCGCTTTGTCCGGGGCCGGGTCGCGGGGGCAGCAGCCTAAGCAAAGAGGCCCAGACCTCCCTCTCCCCAGCCACCTCCTCCAGCTTATCCGGGGGAATACCAAGGCGTTCCCAGGCCAGCCGAGAGATATAATCTCTCCAGCGTGTCCTGGGTCTGCCCCGGGGCCTCCTCCCGGTGGGACATGCCTGGAACACCTCACCCAGGAGGCGCCCAGGGGGCATCCTTGTCAGATGCCCGAACCACCTCAGCTGGCTCCTTTCGATGTGGAGCAGCAGCTGCTCTACTCTGAGCCCCTCCCGGATGGCCGAACTTCTCACCCTATCTCTAAGGGAGAGGCCAGCCACCCTTCGGAGGAAGCTCATTTCTGCCGCTTGTATCCGCGATCTCGTTCTTTCGGTCACTACCCACAGCTCGTGGCCATAGGTGAGGGTAGGGACGTAGATCGAATTTAAAACATCTTCTAATAAAAGTTATTAATAGCAGTTAGCCATTTGCAACTGTGTGGCCCTAAAAGTTAGATATGCTCTTATGTACAAATACGATGGGCGACGTTTATCACTATGGTTAGTCATAGATGTGTTTGGCTATATTTAGCACTTTTTTTTGTAGGCTAAAAATAAGATTTCGTGTCAGTGCAACCTGAAAGGTCACATTGCTGTTTTGTATTAATCAGTATACACCATCACTATTGCACAGAAAGGACACTCGTTGCTATAGCTCATGATACTGTGCTTGAGTTAACGATTTAAAAAGAATGATTAAATTACAAAATAAATGCATATTTTAAAAATATTTGAGTGCAATAAGGTAACTGCATAAAAGTCAACACCTCTCATTACATAATTAAGATTGTGTTTAAACTTAACCAGCTGGACTCAGGGGACATCTTGGTGTATAATCATTAATGCAGCTTGACCGCAAACCTAAGGGCATTCTCTTGTATTAATGAATTGGTGACAATTTAACTCCATTTAAGTGTTGGTACAAAGGTCAAGTGATTTTGTTGCAGTTAAAGTTTTAATTATTTAAAGAAAAGCATATTAATATTATTAATAATAATAATTCTTATATTAATATTAAAATTACTTCCTGTATACCACAAACACACATTTTTTAAAATCAGTAAATCACTAAATTGTCTGATTATTAACCAGATATGTTATCTTGCCCTTTCTGTCTTAGCTTACCTCCTCCATGACTCTGACATAAGTAAGGGAATCTCCAAACATTACCCAGACCGATACAGAACCCCACACAGGTTAGTATATACTGAGCTTTGTTGTCCCACTTGGGTCTGTCTGCAGCCTCCTGTTTTTCCATCCTCTCCAGATCTTCATGCCTGGGGATTCTGAGATCCAGTCCTGGGTTAGGAAGTACCAGTCTCATGGTGTCCACTGTGTACTGAAGCGCACGTTGTGTCTACTTCTAGTGAAGCGTTTGTCAGGGGGGAGTGCATGTGTGTGCGCCCCCATAGGCTTGTCGGGTAATCATGAAACGATTTATGACCTTTACTTTATCTGCAGTGTTGGGCAGATTAACCAGACACAGGCACACTCTGTACTTTCTCCTTCATTTATAGCCGTTGAGTTTCTTAGTTTTATTAAAAATTAGTTAACAGTCTACATGAACATTTAAAAGAACAGAAATAGGAGCAAAACCCATTTCTCTTGTTGCTATGGTCAGAACTCTTTTTTATTTTAAGCATCAGTTTTATTTTCATCACTTTTTGTAGCACATTTCTTCTCACTGAAACACTAAATCATTGCTTGAACCACAATCTAAACTGAACCACAAAGATTTTTAACTGACTATAACTGTTTTTTAATATCTATAGCTTATATTGATTGGCATTGGGTTTTACCCATATCACAATTATGGGCAATCAGCAAAACACACAAACACACAAAAAGCTGCAGTCTTTAAATTTGTGTTGTGTGTATTTAATCATTTTAGACTTTAGTACTGTGCTTAATCTCCTTTATCAGATGTTTTCTTTTGCTAACATAAGATAAACAGAATAATCTTATAATAAAATAATAATAATAATCTTACTATAATAAGGATAGCATATGTATGTATATATGTCTGAACAAAATGTTAGACAGATATCGTGAAACGCATAGTAATTATTAACATTTATGTTTTTAAATGAGCGTCTATTATAAATCCAATTTCTTTGCTTTTCTTGTATATTAAGTTCATTTCATCATCCCTACAAATGTTACGTTTTCCCTTTGTGTTTGTATCATGTGCCATAATAAGCATTCATCTCCCGTGCAGAACTGAGACTGAAGACAAATTTGTATCCGGGGTTAAATTTTGTTTGAGTGAGCACTAATTAGTCACAACTAAGGAAATGAGGGCCACTGTGGTTTGGGCAGACAAGACCAAAGGGGAGATGACTGAACATAATGCAACCAAACCAAACACAGCACATCAACAAAAACCAGGGATCGGCAACCTTTCTGATGATGAGTGCCATCTAAAATTTCCTCAGAAGTCAATGTGCCATATGATTGCATTAGCAATAAATTTAATAACGCTCTATATTAACAGTTACACACTATATAGAACCACTTTATAGAATTATATTTGTTCGCAGATGTTGGCAGCTATCAGCGAATAGTTATCAGCTGTTTTGAAACAAAAAAAGACTTTTTATCCATAACAAGAACTCCATAACAGCAAATGAGCTGTACGACAGAAAATGCAATGCTATTTATGGTCTCCTCACAACAATGATAAGAAAAATAAACTGGGCCAATATGGCATGTTTGTTAATACAGAGATACACATGTTAATGTGATCTCTGGTCTCCCACTCAGAGACACAGGTCTCCGAGTGTCCAGCATTCAGTTCAGACGGCTACCCATAGACACTCTTCATGTGAGAGAAAAATAGCCAAATACTGCCAATAAGGCCTCTGCAATGTTCTGAAGACAGTTAAACTTGTCAGGTAGTGATGTCCAGCAGGTGAAAATGCAAGCACCATGAACACGCACAGCCGTGGATTCCAGCTGCGTTCGTAGTTCTGCAAACTTTGACCCCCACAGAGAAGGGCAGGGCGATATGGCCAAAAATATTTATCACGATGTACATTTGAAAATTTGCGATAACGATATAACTGACGATATAATTGACACGAAACAAAATACAACTCCAAAACTTTATTAGTGGAAAAAAAACCCATCAATTTCTTTTTGTTTAAACAAGCAGCTGTTTATTTTAATGTGCATTACAGCCACACAAAATTGAACAGTGGTTATCCTGTTATATACATGGTTATCCATAACCATGTATATCCACAAAACTTACGAGGTGCTTTGCAACAAAAGTGCAGTGTGCAAAATCAATAAGTCAAATAATATTATTGCACAAACTCTTGAGTAAAAACAAAACAAACAAAAACATAGATAAATTATGCTACATTTTCTACATTTCAAGTTTTAAGATTCTTTGGCAGAAACACTAACATGTTCACAGATGCGGGCTTAAGGGAGGACCTTTGACAAGTTACATCATTTCCACCTGTGCTGAACAACCTTTGAGATGCAGAGCTAGTTGCTGGAATGCAGAGGTATTCCCTAGCTAATCTGCTGATGTGGGGAAAGTTTACTGTGTGAACTTTCCACCACGAAAGAGGATCACACTCACTGTCTGCTGGTGGACTATTCACATAACTGCGCAGTTCAGATGATAACCTCTCTGCAGTTACCTCTATCTTGACACTAACTGGTCCCTTCAAAAAAAACTCCAGAGACTCTTCTTTGGCTTTTTAACAGCTCCCTGACTTGTTTGGTCTTCAGTAGATATATGAGGTGTTTCTGAAAAACCTGTGGCTGTGTTACCCTGGTGTGACACAAGATGCTCTAGTTCACTCATGACTTGAACTTTGATGGCTTCGCTTTCACTCTCACAGAAATATTCTTTATGAAACCGTGGATCAAGGAAAGAAGCCATGTTAACAAGCCTCTCTGTGACACTGTCTTTGTAGCTTTTGTTCATGTAATCAAGTATTGCTATTTTGATGTCTTTGGTCAGCTCAGTGTCACCTTCTTTTACTTTTAACATGTCATTGTTAAACATCTGAAGAACAGGCTTAACACATGAAATGGTTACATACTCTTCAGCAGAGAAAGCATCTGTAAACTCTAGGAGTGGACTCAATGCAGTGCTGACCAAGTCAAGCACTTCAATGTCTTGCCATGTCAACATGAGGTGCCTTGTGGTTTTATCAGCTGCTAAGACCTGTGTTATAGCTTTTTCTTGTTCCAGCAGCCGTTGGATCATTCTCTGCTTTGAACCCCAATGAGTGCAACATTCAGTTATGAGTTTGTGTTCTGGTAGGCCCAGTTCCTTTTGGGCAGCCTGCAGAGCTTGCTGGCACTTCCAGCTGTGGCCAAAAGCAGCAACAATCTTCTTTCCCACTCCAACTGCCCGTTTGATCCTTGGGTCCTTCACACTTCTTTCTAAAAGACATACATTTAAAAGGAAACACAGTTCATTACTCAACAGCAATATCAATGCGGTGTGGAATGTGTGACATTTAAGTTTTATGTATAACACACAATTATTTACACACACACACACATATACACACATATACACACACACACACATATATACACACACATATTTATTACGGGTGCAACGATACTCGTATCGATATTGAACCGTTCGATACAGTGCATTCGGTTCGGTACGCATATGTATCGAACAATAAAATATTTTTTATTTATTTTATCAACTTT